GTATATAAGTCTAATAAATAAATAAATAAACAAAGTACAGAACTTCAGGAACCATTGTAAATTACAATAATTTCTGCTCGGTTGTAAACCCACTTTGAATATGAGTTATATACTGATTTTGAACTGCGCAGTGGGTAGAGTGCAGTACTGCAGGCCACTTCAGCAGACTGCTAGTTCAGCAGTTCAGCGGTTCAAATCTCACGGGCTCAGGGTTGATTCAGCCTTCCATCCTTCCAGGTGGGTGAAATGAGGACCCAGACTGTGGGGGCTGATATGCTGACTCTTTAAACCGCTTAGAGAGGGCTGAAAGCCCCATGAAGCGATATATAAGTCTAACTGCTATTGCTACTGCTATTACAAAACCAAGGAGGGGTCCCTTTTCAAGGTCAAGTTGACCCCTCCGCCTTTTTTTTTAAATCTTTTCAGTGGATTTCGCCCTTTCCTGCGGGATTTTGGCTAAATCAAGACTTCGGGCAGCTAACCCTCGGCTTGCTGAGGTAACGGCGGCGCAAAGCCGCTTCCCTCGTGGCGCTGCGAGCAAGGTCAGCGGCTTTAAAGAGAGAAAAGAAAGCCGGGAGTCACTCCCTCTGTGGGTAACGCCTCAGCCACCGCTTGCGCTCGGCTTCTGGATTGCATAAACTCCAGGAAAAAGGAGGAGGGAGAAGGAGGAGGATTCTGGTAGGCCGGACCGCCCGCCTCCTTCGTCTGACGGGTCCGGTCATGGCGCGGATTCTGATCGTCGGAGCCGGGCTGGCAGGTAGCCTGTGCGCTGCGCTTTTGCGCGCCGAGTTTCCCCAGCACCTCCTGCGAGTCGTGGTTTGGGATAAGGCGCAGGGCGCAGGTGAGTTTCGGCGCAGATCCTTACTGTGTGGAAAAAAGGCAAGGCGGCCAGTCGCGGGGAATCCAGGAAGGTTAGCGGCAAAAAGAAAAAAAAGAGAAAAACAACCCGCGCCTGACAGAAATTAAAACAGCAGGCAGGCTCCCCTCCCCCCCCCTCGTCTTGTCAGCAATTCATCTGGCGCTGAGGGGGTTTCTCAGGATTGCTCTCAAAGGAAACGCGATCCTATACGTGGCTAAGAAACCCTTTCGAGGTCCTCGCCTGACATTCAATTTCAGGATACGCCCTCACCCCACTTTTTTTTAAAACTGAAACTCATTTTCCAGTCAGCCTGCGAAGAGCGAGCTTTCCCGCCCCAAAACACCTGAGGTAAAGTCTCCCCACCCCGAGACTCGGGTGGGATTCCAATTGGGGGCCGCCTGGTTCATCTGTTGCTGAGGGATTTTTAATAGCAGGAAGGCAAAAACTCTCGCTAACAGCCGTAATTATCGTCCCCCTCAGCCACCCCACTTTTTTTAAAAACTGAAGCTCATTTTCCAGTCAGCCTGCGAAGAACGAGCTTTCCCGCCCAAAACACCTGAGGCAAAGTCTCCCCACCCCGAGACTCGGGTGGGATTCCAATTGGGGGCCGCCCGGTTAATCTGTTGCTGAGGGATTTTTAATAGCAGGAAGGCAAAACTCTCGAGACGCTAACAGCCGTAATTATCGTCCCCTCAGCCCGAAAATACGCATCCCCCGCCAATGCAAAATCTCGGCTGGGAGATTCATGGTTTTGTGAGGCGGCTGTCATTGCCCTCAGAGGTTGCTCGGGAGGGGCCCGCGCGTGCGACCCGTGCTGCGCGGGGATTGGTTGGGGTGCGAGGGAGGGGAGGGGGGTGTTGTTTCCCCTGTTACTAAGGCTCAGGTTTGCCCCCCCCCTCCGGAGAAGCTGATTGGTCGGCTGGGCTGGCAGCGCGCGAGCGCGAGCTTAAAACGGCTTTCTTGTCTCCCGCGCACGTGACTTTCAAGGGGGAAGAATGTCGACGAGCCGCAGCGCTCGCGATCCGAAATGCACGGCCGACCTGGGCGCCCAGTACATCTCGCGGACGCCCAGCTACGCGAAGGCGCATCAGAGGTGAGCGAAATCGGGGAGGGTGGGGTGGTGGGGAAACGAGCGAGCTCTTCGGCTTGGAAAGATAAGGGAGGATGGATATTATTGGGGAGTCGGATGCTGTGGTAGCAACAGGTGAGGTAGTTCGTACTTGGGATCAAGGGCTGGGATGATGCGCCAATGGAATTGGGCATTGGGTAATGGTATTGGGCAGCCCTGAGCTGGCCTGGAGAAAGATGGGAGGGATGAGCTGTGGATGGGAGACCACTAGGTAAACCAAGGAAACGGCTATTGGCTTGGAAAGATAAGGAAGGATGGATATTGGGGAGTCGGATGCTGTTGTAGCGTACTTGGGATCAGGGGCTGGGATGATGTGCCAATGGTATTGGGCATTGGGTAATGGTATTGGGCAGGAGGGCAGGCCTGAGCTGGCCTGGAGAAAGATGAGAGGGATGCGCTGTGGATGGGAGACCACTAGGTCAGTGTTTCCCAACCTTGCCAACGGGAAGCGGTCCGGACTTCAACTCCCAGAATCCCCCAGCCAGCGAATGCTGGCTGGGGGATTCTGGGAGTTGAAGTCCGGATCGCTTCCCGTTGGCAAGGTTGGGAAACACTGACCTAGTGGTCTCCCATCCACAGCGCATCCCTCTCATCTTTCTCCAGGCCAGCTCAGGCCTGCCCTCCTGCCCAATACCATTACCCAATGCCCAATACCATTA